TTCTTTTTTGGATTGTGAAGTGAAGGTATCTTTACCATGTAAGATTCAGTTTGTTGAATAGGCCATTTGAATAGGTATTTTTAGTATTATTAACTCTGATTAGTGAAAATTCAGGATTCAGAGTATCTTATTTGAAAGTATGTTGAATGTTTATTATGTATTTGATGTATTTGAATATTTATATTACATGTAAAGGTAAAAGATGTGGAGATAAAAGTTATTTGAGTTACTTATTTGTATCATTTGTTTTTAAAGGCAGAATCAGGAATTTATACTTAAACAAAGGTAGACAGACAGGCTGACAGGCAAAAAGACAGATAGACAGGCACACACAGTCAGCTGATAGCCATGCAACTTGTTTAACAGTTTTTGCCGTTTCATTATTTTTAGGATATTTTAATCACCATATTCAGAGGCAGAGATTTCTCTAACAAAGAAATACTTTTTCACGCACTTTTCTTTCTTTCTTTTAGGACACGCAGTTAGAAGAGAGGATATACAGAACGGATTCAGACTGCGTGCTTGCTGGTCGACCCCTCACAGAATTTGATCTTTATGCAAGTACTGTAGTCAACATGGAGAGTGTAGGAATCAGGTATGCCTTGATTTCCTAAGTTTAGATGTATACAAATTTGGGTATATAGATGTTTAAAAAATTATTTTATGTTGAGAAAGCATCACTTTTCTTCTTGTAAGATGTAGTGATATTTGTTACCTTCTGTCTGTTATTCAGTTATCTTTATCATTTGTGAATGATTATTAAATCTATCTAATCTTCTTGCATACAGTTTAAGGTTGGATTTATACAGAAACTGAGTATAAACTATATCATTTTTTGTCAGTATATATGCTGTGTTTATATCATTAATTTATGATATATACTTGTGTGTATGATTTTTTTTTCTAATTATTTTTATTATTTGTCCTCTTCATCTTTGTCTTTGTCTTCTTCTTTTTCTTCTTTATCTTCATCTTCTTCTTTTTCTTCTTTATCTTCATCATCTTTTTCTTCTTTATCTTCATCTTCTTCTTTTTCTTCTTTATCTTCATCTTCCTTTTCATATGTGTATATAGATATAATTCACTTCATTTCATTTCTCTTATTTCATTCTTGTTTATTATTCCTCATCTTTTATCCATTATATCCTTAACCTTTGACTTTTGTCCTTCCCCCTTGCCTCCAGACTTGAGGATCACCTTGGGTTATCCCCATCTGCGTCAGATGCTCTCCTGGAGCCGGACTGTGTCAAGGCCTTTGACATGCCCTTCTCCATGTTTGCCTACGAACACCTTCAGGTAATTGTTGCTGTGGTTGTACCAAATAAGGCAGGGAGACCTTCAGTGACTGCATCCTACAAATTCTATGGGTCATATCCTGTTATTATCAATATGATCATTGTTATTATTGTTTTTTTATTGATTTTTATCAGTATTTCCAATATTATATTTCTGTTTCTTTGTTCATCATTGTCATTACTGGAGTTATCATCATCATTGTCAGCAGTGTAATTATCATTATCATCATTATCGTTTCCATTACTGATGTAGTACAATTGATACTATTTTATTACCATTACCCTGACCATCAGTCTCCACTTATGAGCAATTGACGTGGTTCGTTCCTGAACTTGAAACATGTGACACCAAGTATTATTTTCAAAGTTATGATCAGATGTTAAAATATAAACTCAAAACATATATTTTCTGGCCCGAAGTATCCCCACCCCCCAGACTGCAACCAAATTCCTCCCTCAGGGCATCCGGTATCGTGACAACCTAACCACAACCACCGAGGAAGACCTAACAACGGTGGGTGGGGAGAGCGATGTGTCTGTGTGGGGTCATAGGGTCGCAGTGGCTCTGGTTACAAATTCCTCATCCTGGGTTCTGCACAACCTCGCCACTCAGTACTGGAGAGTGAAGGCAGAACCCCTCAAAGCCACAGAGTGTGTGCGGAGGGCTCTCCACCTAACACCCAGGTTTGTGGGCCTGTTTTTTTATTATTATTATTATTATTATCATTATTATTATTATTATTATTCTCCACTGAATCCCCAGATGTGAGATCTAGAGTTATATATATGTATATACCACATACTTTTTTGTGGGATTGTACATGTATTTTTGAATATCAATAGAACATTTAATTTTTCTTGAGTGCTTTTATTTCATTATTCTTCAGGAATTACCGCTATATACCAATGGTTCACTTGGGCAACATCTTGCACCGAGCAAGACGATCAGACGAGGCTGTGTTAGTGCTCCATGCAGCCATAGACCACTACAGACATTCCCCAGTTGCGCACATAACTTTAGGCAATGTTTATGCTACATTAGCATTTTATAATGTGTAAGTAGTCATCTAAACATTTTTGCATCCTTAAATTCTGTACATTCTCTTCTTGGTTTTCTCCTCCATATGCTCTGCAAGTTTCTTTCCTTTTCTTCCTCTTCCATATTTAATGACCTTTGAAATACATAATTTATCATTTGTTGAAAATAAGTTTGAATATTTCATCTGTGTTTAAGTTAGCTGGACCGTTTTTTATGTACATGGAATTAACATCAACAAAAATATCTCTTTTAAACAGTTCTGTATTGTGCTTTGAAAATGCGTTATATATGTCTCCTGGTGACCAGAGCTTACGTCGTAGAAAACATGCTGTTCTATGTCATTCAAAATTAGAAGCTGCATTGGAAAACCAACATCAGTAAGTCACATTTGTACAAGGATGCATGAAGTCTTACTTTTAGACTACATAGTTTTTGTTAGAGTTCTTACTATTTGTATCATATCCTTTTTTGCTTCTTCTTTTTGTAAGGTCTTACTAATAGTGGTGACTAATAAATTTTGACTTTGCAGGTCTCTACAGAGAACTTTAGGTGAGCTGAGAGATTACCAGAAGCGGCATGAGGAGTGGTTATCTCTCCAGCAGAAGCTTCTTCTTGAGCAAGCTACTCCAGAAATGAAACTGGAGTCAAGACTGGAGTACGAAGAGCAGAAAATCAGAGAGAGCACAGATGGAAGAGGTAAGTTAAATGATAGTGTTGTGTAGTAGGTCTGATATTTGAAATATGTATTTTTAGTTCACTCATGAGTAAGCCTGTTTGGCAACATATCACTGAATTTTTGCTCTTTGCAGGTCAAGACTGTTTTCAGTATCAACAGGATGGCCACACATTCTTGAGTTGCAACATGCGAAGAGATCAGCTGGAGCAAAGAGGGTCTCCTTCTGAGCTCCTCTTAGATCTGCAGAGTCTTCTCCATACTGTGGAATCAGAGGCACTAAGATTAGGGCAGCATGTGCTCAAGAGAAAGCCTTTGCTAATGTCTCAGGTACCACAGATCATGCCACTGCATCCAACGAAGACCTACAGGTTAGGATTGAAATTTTAGAGAGAATGTTTTGTTTGTGCATGAGAGAGAGAAAAATTAATGAAAACAGAATTTGATCTCCTTTGTCTTTCTTAACCCAATTATCATGGGATCCCCCAGTGCAATATTGAGCAACATGTGAAGGTGCATGCAGAGTCAGCTGTTCAAGGGAAATATAACGTTGTCCCACTTTCTATGCTCTTGGCTGTAGCATTAAATTATTTTTTAGGTAATGATGCTAAAATGGCTTTAAGCTTATTTTTGAGGACCTTTTTCTCCTCAACAAATGCAGCCAGGAACAAGCAATTGCACATGTTTAACTTAGAGTAGACTCAACAGTGCATGATTTGATGTCAACCTGGTATGAGGGATGATCTCCAATGATGTTATAGGACATCAAATGGAGTAACTACATACTCATTTCATATCCATATATTAACTAAAGATTATAAAGGATCATACTTGAATGTCTACCACAGAGCATGATGCTGTGGTGTGTATGTCTTTGAGAGAAATTTGACAGATGAAAAAATACAAGAGAACATTTCATCTTCCTGCCTGTAATAGGAATGGTGGTACACCAGGGATCTTGGATGTGACACTTGGTGAAGGGTTCCCCACACCAGAGCAATGCGAGCAGGCACCTCCTCTCCCTCAGTGGGATGACTTTCCTTCAGTTTTCCTTCCTGCTGAAAACAAGGGATTCTCGTAAGTAGATAAAGGAGCACCATATGATTCAGTACATAGATGAAAAGAAATTTACAGATAATACTGGGTATGATGCTGAAATAGTTTACTGGTGCTTGCAAATAGCCAGTGCTTTTATACGATTATTTTCCTTTTTAAAGAGTTGACAGATTTCTTAGCGATGACATAGATGTCAGCTTCAATGAAGAACACCCATTGCCATGGCATCCACCCATATGTGAGCGACTCAGTGATGTTGTAGAAGGAATTGATGACATTCCTGGTATTAAAGAGCGGCACACGTTGACCACAAGAAACCCTGATCCTCATGCTGTCCCTTACCTCATGAAGTATGGTTACCAGGGATCGGAGGCAGAAATAGGGCAGCGGATCAGCAGTGCTATGAAGAAAGTAAGTAGGAAAGCTATTGATGATTTTTTGCATTTAAATTTTATCTAAGTACTGTGAAGTAGAAAGAATATAGGGATGATATTTTTGATTAGTGCTAAATTATTCACTGAATCTTCTAGGGTGTTGGCCCCCAGTGGCTTCTCTACAACTTAGCGGGACTATACTGGCGGGTGCACGGAAACCTCTATAATGGCGTTGAGTGTTTGAGACGTGCTGTTGCAACAGCTCCTGAGGAGTGGCGTGATGTGCCTCTAGTAAACACAGCAGCATTGCTGTATACTGCAGGACACATTGATGATGCATTAACTTTGACATTACAAGCTGTTCAAGTTGATGATCAAGAGGTCAGTTGGATTGTGTGATGCACTTAATTGATTTACTGTTTTTGTACTAATTAAAGGTTAGGATAAAAAGCAATTTCTAGTGTTTCTTTTCACATAAATGCTATTGATATCAGGACTTGTTATGTGTTTTGTTTGACATTTATGTGAGAATATTTAATTACTTATATTTATAGCCTTAGATAAAGTACAGTAAAAATGATAATTCTATTTGCTTTGTACATAAAGAATTTTGATTAGAAAATTAAAAAATGGTTATATTTATTATCAGAAAGAAATCATCGGGTTTGCCTATTTAATTGTGTGTCAGTGAATTAGTGTGTTTTTATACTACTAATAGTATTTGTTTATTTTTTTTGTTTTTTGTTTTTTCTTCTTTAAAATTCATCAGCCAGAGACAAACTTCCTGTTGGCTAACTTGTACTGTGGGAAGGGAAACCTAACAGGCGCATGGCACCACTATGAGCGCGTGTTGGCAGCCTCCCCTAATCACCCTGCCGCTCTTCAATATCTGACTGCTCTCGCATGCCACACCCGACCTCCTCACTCCGTCCGACCTTTGCCCACGTGCCAGAATCAGGTAGAGGGATGGAATAGAGGTTTTGATCTGGTCTACTTCTTTCCTCTGTGGTTCTTCGTCCGGTGTTTTGTTTCTTTCCTTTCTTTGTTCCCGTTTTCTCGTTTTGTTTCAACGTCTTTGTCTTTCTTTCTTTCTTTTTTTTCCTCATTTATTTATTGTTTTGGATTATTCTATTTATGATTTTTTTTTTTCATGAGAGGATGAAGTTATTGTGCATTTTTGAAAAACTGGACTTGACGACTTGTTACATGAAGAATTTTCAGTATAAAAAGTTCATTTTCATTTTGTAATGAGAATATATAGTATATAATCTGAAGTTCACTCAATGTTCTTAAATTCAAGGGAGGAGTTGAAGAAGGCGTTTGTACAACAGATGGAGGTTGTCAGGCTGTTGTGGACAATGGATCTGGTGATGACAAAAGTAAGTTTTATCCCAATGAATTTGAGGTAATAAAGACAAAATCATGCTGATATCATGGTCAAAATTTCAAATACAATTGTGTATATAATTTAATTTAGCTCACTAAAGGAAGTATAGCATTCTAATAATAAAAAAATATATATCTGAAAAAAAGTCATATTGCATAAATTTTGGTGGAGAATGTTGCCAAAATGTTGATTTTGTTTGTTTTTTTCTCTGTATGTTGATAATTTTCTATTCAGATATGATCATGTTGCAAGTCTGAATTGCAATGAAAAAGACGCATTTAGTATGCTTTGAATGAAATATGAAAGTGCATTTCATTTGGACCAAAACTGTATATAACTTATATTGAAAACTGTATAGATTATTGTTATTTAAAGAGTTCCAATTTCTGACTTATAGATGAATTGCTAGAGGAGATCAACCTTGATCTTGAAATAGAGACAGAAGAGAATGAAGATGAGGATAACTCCTCTTTATCGAAGCCTTCAGTTCCAGCTGAAGACAAAAGCAAAGGAACAGGGGATCCACAAGGACCTGAGTCAAAGGTAAATGATCATTTTAAGGGTAACCAGATTTTGCATGTTTTTTTTTATGTCATGTCAAAAAGAATAACAACAAACTAATTACATGTCTATTTCTTCTCTGAAAGTGTAAATCATTTGACCCAAATCTGAGGGGTTAACAAGCAGAGGAATAGTTGACTTGATTGTACATGTTTTCACAGTTATGTAAGTTAGATAAAGACTGACTAACCTCATATTTTAATTATATTGAACACCATTTGTTTTGTTTTTTGTCTAGATATCCAACAAGCAGATTCATGTCCGTGTGGGCCTGGGCTCAGACGACGCAACATTGACAACAGCTGAAGCAGAATCCAACCCCCCCTCAGATACTCCTGCCATTGAAGACGACCCGCTTCCCGACGTCCTCTTGCGGGTGCGGGAAAGGGTAGCCTCCCCTCCTCCCCCTCCGCATGTTTGTGATCGTGCCAATAAACTGAGTGATGTCAAGCATTTCACCTCCACTTGGCTTTCTGTCTCGGCCAAGAACATTGAGTAAGTGTTACGTATTTAGTTGAGATGCACCAAATACAAATTACATTTGTGTTGGGTGATGTAAAATACAAAGATGAGGTTGGGGACATGTTTCATTATCTTATGATTCTTATTCTAGATATAAAGGAGGATTATTTTGTAATTAGGAGTTTTTAGCACGATATGAATTTGTATTTTTTTGACCAACGAAAGATCTATCCTAAAGTACAGCCTTTTTTCCAGTATATCTGATTACCTCGTGCCCAGTCCACAAGTAGGCACACCCCTGGAGGAGCCTGTGTGCCGAGGAGATCTCCCTGCCTCCATGCACACCCTGGACCACTTAGCGGGTATCAGACATCGCCATCTTCTGCCTCACTTTCCAGAAATGGGTCTACGTGAAGCTCTGCAGACACTCACTGACCGGACACCTGTACCTGTGGAATTGATGGCAACCAGAATTGCAAGATCTTTACAAAAAGTAGGCATTTATAAGTTAGTAGAAGTTTGTAAATCATGTTCCAAGAAGTCTAGGTAGCCTGGAAAAGATTGTGGTGCTTTTGTCATTGTAGTGGAAGTGTGAGTGCTTTCTAGGTTACTTTTATTTCAATAGTCATTTGAACATATAAATTTAACTTAACCACATGCCGCTGGTGAAAATGCTGTACTCATTTCTATTTTTTTTTGTGGAATGTCTGCACATAGATGGCTCTGCTAGTGCTTAGCCACAAAGGAGTCAATTAGTAGACCTTGTGTCTTCACCTAATTTCACCTTTCCTTGAATAGGCGGGAAAAAATATATTTTTTACTAATGCCATGAATATCGATGGTGTTATTTTTATTATAGACATTATGATTAATATAATGTTATAAACATTAGTAACAGCAAAATGAAATAATATAAAGTATTTTCTTAAATCAATGAAAAGGTAAACGGGTGAGACAGGCAGTACTCGTAATTGGCTCATTGGTGACTTGGTACAAGTGTAGCCATCTATGTGTAAAAACTGTAAAGTAAACTCATTGTAGGCATCAGAATCAGGTTAAAACTCACTTCTGATTGTTAGACCTTGGTTTACCTATATTATACAACTATTTGGGACCCACAGTCCTTGCAATAAAGCTAATCTTGAGCTAATCTTTTGTAAAGATGATCACATTGTAAGTAGGGGAAATCAGAGGAAGAATTTATAGTTCCATTCTTCTGGAAAAAATTACCTTGAGTAGACATGACTAATGAAAAACATTGCTCTTTGTAATAAATAGTTATACAGATTTTTCTCGATTCATTCTGCCAAAGGAGCATTTAATGTTTAAAATTACTTGATAATGTAGTTTAATTGCCTGATATTACTTGATACTTCAGTTTAACCAGCCACATTCCATCATGTTGCAAAAGATTTATATGAATATCATTTTTTTCTAGAATGAAACTTCATGGGTAGTGGCAACAGCAGCAGCACTATACTGGAGAGTCGTGGGTAGTGGAGAGAGAGCAGTGGATTGCCTGCGCCACACACTCCATCACGCGCCGCGACATATGAAAGACATTCCATTGATATCTTTAGCAAATATTCTTCATAGGTAAGTGTTTTTTAGCTACTATTGTTTAAAGTTGGTATTTAAAGTTAATATCAATATACTGATAGCATTAGTTAGTCTATAAAAACTAAAATTGTTCTGAAATAGCTCAGCAAAAGGAAACAGTGTAATTTCATGTGAAATCTAATGGAACTTAAGTAGATATATTGAGATCTTTTGTTTTTGTACTCTTCAGATTTGTATTTTGACAGTACATTCATTGTTCTTACAGGGCAGGACTCTACAACAACGCCCTTGTTGTAGCAAATATGGCATTAGAGATATCACCGAAATTTGTGGTCATCCATTTCACCATGGCAAATATTTATGCTGCTAAGGTAAGTTAAAAAGGTGGTTGTTGTTCTATACTGTAAGTTTATCTCATGTTTACTGTTACATGTATGCAAGTGTTTGAGTTTTTTCTAAGTTTTCAGAAAAGCAAAACACTAAGATCCTGTGTCTTTGTGATTTTTGAAGAAAGGCTTCCTTATTCTTCAGATATATATTTCTAATGAAAACCAAGTTAAAAGTTTGTTATTGAGAAGGTCTTCTTACAATGCCTGTATGGTGGAATTGAACTACTTCCATTATTTCTAGGTGTGCAGTATGAATATAAGTTTCCATGCAGAATATATACATTTTTCAGTGTAAGAAGGGTTCACTATATATTGCACTTCCCCAAATGTTTCTAGTGTCATGTAGGGTTATTTCAGTAACTTTTGCAAACCCTTCACTATTATTCATGGTGTCTGTATATATATGATCATTAATAATCTCTGGTTTTGTTGTTTTACTTTTTTCTTACTTTTGATATGATATTCATATATTTTCATATCAACCAGTGGCTTACACAATCTTATTTTCTTCATACTTCGATTTGGAAATATATCATGTACAAGTTATATATCTCTGAATTATTTATTATTTAAAACTAGAATGTGTCTTACCACTGCTATGACATTGCTATTATTCATTGCATTTTTTTTTTGGCCTAATTTCAGGGTGATCTTGAGAAAGCGACAGCATTTTACCAGTCTACTCTAGCCCTCCAATCATCCTTTGAGCCAGCCAGGGATCGCCTAAGAGCAATCCAGTGTGCTTCAGTAGGCGAGGAATTGATAACCAAAAATTGAAATAGGCACGGTGTTTCGGTTAAATACAGAGTGCAAAGGTACGGAAAATAGCCCCAAGATTATGCTGATTCAATCTTGCTCACGAAGAACAAAAAATTGAAATTCATGAAGATAATGATTTGACTTTATTTTAAAAATTTCCCAATGCTTTTATTTTCTTCTTTGCTCTTCTCTTCTTATGCAGATTAACAAAGACAGAAACTGTCTCATTCTTGCATAGCTTTGATCCTTTTTTTTTACTTTGGTTGTAATAGATTTTCACATCATTCCATATAGAGAGGATAGTGAATGTTCAGGTAGAAGGGCCATTGAAAACATTTTAAAAGGAAGTAAATATTGGTTTTATTATAATGCAGTGTAGTAATTTCCATTGGATAATGTGGTGCAATAATCACATTTTGGTTAGAGAAACTTCTTCTAAGGTAAATCTGATACTAGCATGTGTACTTGCTGGTGGATATGTGCATGTGCACTTTAAAAATTGTTTTTATTTTCATTTCTCTTTTACAGTTTTATCCTAGTATGTACATATAATATGTACCCAAAAATATTAGTATTGATTTTTATGTTGTAGACATCAGTGGCCTTTTTCTTACTGAGAACTTTCTTTATGCATCTCAAACACAAAAGTGACTAATAATTCCTGAGATGTTCCTTCTCCTGAGACACATCCAGTGATGTAATTACGGTGTATAGAAGTTACCCTTCTTTTAACGACCTGGTTTCTGGTATAAGCATCTGTGATGAAAATCTGTGTAAAAATCTGCATCGGAATGATGCAGTGTATGTTTTTTTATGGATTTTTTTGTTTGTTTGTTTGTCTGTCTAAAGATGTATATAATGAAAATGGCATAGCTTCATGGCATTGGTAATTTTGAAATACTAGGGTTCATCAGTTAAGTTTCCTAGTTATATTTTTTACTAACTTTCTTTTTCTTGCAGATAAATATTTCTGATTATTGATAAGATTGGTATGAAATACCTACAAATTGTATTATTTTCTTATCACAGAATTGTTATCATTATGGTTTGGTAACGTGTTGCATATTTTGTTATGTATATATATTTATGTACAATCTTTTTTTGTTTTTTTGTTTCTTCATCAAAATATGCAGCAGTTACTCATAAGAAATTACAAGGAAATTGGGTTCCTACCTATATGTAGGAAGAATAGTACTTCTAAAGCTGGCACTATTCCTTAACTTCTATCTGAAAAATTACGGTGATGATGGTAAGTGAATGTCAAATACTTCCTAGTCAAGATACGTTTCTAATTCCTTACAATTTAGAAACAAATGCTGTAAAAGCAAATAGAGATTTAAATTGTTATTTTATATTTTGTATTCCATATCATTATAATTTATTTACATAGTAATTTGATGTTCCTCTTTCCTTGCTGAATGTGCCATAAGCATAATAAATGAAAAGGTTTTGTATGGACTGTGAAAATGAAGTAGTAACAAAGGGTGTAGATCACATCTTATTTTGCTCAGAGTTACAATATTTTGTATAATGCGCATGCCATGGGAAGCCATGAATGTGTTTCATCTCATTTCCTTCCTTTTTTTCACGTAAGGTTAATAATATCCATAATTGCCAGAACAATCTAGTCAGAGCTTTGCCATAATTTCCTTTGAAGTCACAACGTTATAGTTGTAAATTGATGCATTTCTACTTAATAGATTAATTGGAATATGTCAGTGTTCGTTAGATGTGTTGATGACGCACACAATAATGGCTTCGTAAAGAAGAGTTGCCGAGGGTTGTTAGGCTGTTCTGGTGTCTTTGGGTCTTGCAACATTGAGAACATTGAACAACTCCAGCACCTTTTAAGTGTAACCTGTTTTCACATTTTTCACATTGTCAGATTTGAGTTTGGACAGAATCTATGTTTAGTGTTAGAGATTACTTATACATTGTTTAAGCTTTCAAGCCAACTATTTGTAAGGCTTATCAGTCTGCAATGTAGAAAAGAATTACCTAAAAAAATTTTGGATGAGTCATTTGCTAAGAAAAATTCTGTACCAAAAGATGTTACTCATTTTTGAAAATTGAATTGAAATGTGCATTAAAAAAATATGGTTATCACATATTATTCAAGTTAACAAGAGAAATATAGATTGTGTTGCTTTTTTATATTCTAGGAAAGCTATATTGGAAAGAGGAATAAGCATCGTGTAAATCAGTATTTTGTTTAGTATTACAAGATGTAGCTGGGAATATAACTTGTCCTAGCTCTCTCATTTGTTACAGAATACACAAAGAAAAAATAGCTTCTGTTTAAAGTCTGCTTATGAGAAGAAGAACCTCAAAGTTAACATGTTTAAAAAGTGTGTTTTTTTTTTATTGTTTCTTCAGCAGGTAGAGGAAAGTTCTGTAGATTTGTTTTGTCCATTTACTTCAGTAGTTTGGCTGTTAGCTTGACAATTCAGTCAGAGATTAAAAAGATTCAGTATTATAGGTATTAAGAATGCATCCCATTGTGTATTTTTTTTTTTTTTTTTCGAAGAGAACTGTTGCTGGAAAAACTGAGCTAAGCACCCTCTGGAACTCTTACTTTGCCTCATAAATTGTAAAAAATAAATAAATAAATAAAAACAAAAAAAAGATTGCAGTAACATGACATACATTCCATTTTTTTTGTGTTTGCCATTGCAGGACAGGAGAGTCATGTCCTTTGTCATAAGTTATATATTTTGTATATTTTAGCCTCTTAGATTACCGTGAAAATTTGGCTGTGTATTAAGTGGAAACTAAATGAACATTTATGACAATAGGCAATACAACAGATATTCTGCCAAATCCCCGAGAAAGCAAGAAAGTTTATTGAAATCATATGAAACAAAAATTGATGGACTTAATTGATTGTATCCTGTTTCATTGTCCTCCCAACAATACTCAGATGATAAAATAAATGTGAAATTTCA